CTGATTTCGCCGTGCCGCCACTGCCCCGCCTTCTGCAGAAAACTCCCATAAAGTGACGCCAAGAAACCCCAACTTGTCTTCAGTTACCAGCTACAAATTTGGGATGATTATTTGAATAGGCGAATTTTGGAAAATTTCCCAGTAAAACTTGACCTTTTAAGTACTGAGGGGGCGGGGCTTATGTGACATCACCAATCAACCATTCATTTGTCTTCGGGGGGCGATGACGATTGTCCATAGAATGTTACTTTAACTGTAATTCTTTCATTTATGAAATTATAGCAATTTGAATTTTCTTGGCGAGTGCTCGAACTTTGAGGCCTGGCCCCGCCCCTTCAGTATTTACGAAAAGTCAATTTTATTTTCTCATTTGAATCGGCCATCGCTTCTGTTCGATCGCACACAATTTTTGAGACGATCGTGCGAAAAATGACCAAACTGTTCAACCAAATATAGACCCTAGAAATGGCCAAAATGGCTAAAAATCGCCATTTCAACCTAAAATGGCCGACTTCCTGTGTGATATAGACCATGGTTGCAAGAGACTTTTCTGTGCGGACTGTTGAGTACTACAAGTGTACCAAATTTCATAACTGTACGATAAACTAAGCTTTATGGAGAGGGGTATTTTTCACTTTCTAGGGGGCGCTGTTCAGCCAATTTTTTACGAACTTTCACATCGCCAGTGAAATACGTAAATTTCACGCACTTTCTATATTGGGCCAGAATTTGGTGACTTTTTGGATATGCTAAGACCCCCTAAAGGCCATTCAAAGACGCGGAAGAAAAAAGAATAATAATTAAAGCTGCAAGCAGCGTCGTTCGGCCCTCGCAGCGAAGCTGCTCGCCCTCCTTCAGCACCCCCTCCGCTCCATCCCCGACGCTCTCCAAACCCGGCTCCGCGCTTCTCCATCCTGGCCGGCAGCCGAGGGCATCAGGGCATGCCTGTCGGAACAGAAAGTCAGCCACCCCAACACCGGAAACCGTGAAAGGCCTCCTCGTCCACACCTCACCCTGACTCAGCATCCCTTCTGAGCCCACCATTACATGTCTCACCCCTAGGAGATACTCTATCTTTACCACACTGGTGATGTGATGTTCAGTCTCGGGCAAATCGGAGGCTGTTTGTGGAAGTTACAGTCAAACGTAAGGTCACAGCGTCACGCCAGAAATCGCCATGGCATCAAAGCCCCTCACTTTCTGAAAAGCTATCAGATCTGAATGGTCATTACAACATCATGAAGACAGTGCATGACCTTAGTGTCATCTTGACTAAATTAGAGGGGACAAATATGGGCAGTTCACCATAAAACAATAGACTTCCTTTAGTCAGGGGGCGGGGCTTAGGTGATGTCAGCTGTCCACATTGTCACTGTCTTCAGATGTGGTCAGTGATCACACAGACAAAGTATGAAATTGATCTGATCATGCACATGGGAGTTATTAAGTCAAATAAAGTAATGGCGACTGGTCAAAGTTTGAGGCTTAGCCACGCCCATACCTTTATACTTATTTAAAATCCGACGGTTGAATTTTTTCCTCTATGTCTTAAGAGTATATAGCAGGAGTTTGAAGGTGATCGGTGGAAAGGGCGAGGAGATATCATTCTCCTTATAACGTGTGCGAAAACCACTAAATTGAGTAATTGCACCAAAATGGCCGACCTCCTGTGCGACATTGCGCTTGGCTCCAAGAGACTTTTTTGTAGGTCCTGAGACACTACATTAGTGTGCCAAATTTTGTGATCCTCAGTCAAAGCATGGCTTGGGGCTGACTGTTTTAATGGTCCTAGGGGGCACTGTTTTGGAAAATAGGCCACGCCCACAAACTTCAGCTGTCCAATTATATTAGGGGTCAGAGTAGGATCACTCATCAGAAATTGTGTGGCAATGTCACAATGATTGAAGAAATGAGAGACAAACGTATTTCCATGGCGTGATGGCGAATTTCGCCATGCTCCCAAAGCCCCGCCTTTATTCGAAACCTGCCAGTACTATAGACCTAGTGACCTCAACTTGTCTGCTGCTATTTGCCACTGTTTGGTGGTGATTGGATAAAAGGAGTCCAATAGGGAGCTGTGAAAAAAAGAGTGGCGTGGCGACAAGTCAGAGTTTGAGGCTTAGCCACGCCCACACCTTTATACTTATTTAAAATCCGACGGTTGAATTTTTTCATCTATGTCTTAAGAGTATATAGCAGAAGTGTGAAGGCGATTGGTGAAAAGGGCGACGGAGCATCACTCTCCAAACAACGTGTGCGAAAACCACTAAATCACGCACTTGGACCAAAATGGCCGACTTCCTGTGCGACTTTGCACTTGGCTCCAAGAGACTTTTTTGTAGGTCCTGAGACACCACATTAGTGTACCACATTTCGTAATCCTCAGTCAAAGCATGGCTTGGGGCTGTCAGTTTTAATGGTCCTAGGGGGCGCTATTTCAGCAAATAGACCACGCCCACCGGAATGTCACATCAGATTTTTTGGGGGGCCGGACTAGCATCACTCACAAGAAGTTTCGTGGCGATATCTCTAGAAATGACGAAATGGGAGGCAAACGTAAGGCCTAAGTGGTACGCCTGAGTTCGCCGCGCCGCCACAGCCCCGCCTTCTGCAGAAAACTCCCATAAAGTGACGCCAAGCAACCCCAACTTGTCTTCAGTTACCTGATACAAATTTGGGATGATTATTTGAAAGGGCAAATTTTGGAAAATTTCCCAGTAAAACTTGACCTTTTAAGTCCTGAAGGGGCGGGGCTTATGTGACATCATCAATTGACCATTCATTTGTCTTCGGGGGGCGATGATGATTGTCCATAGAAAGTTACTTTAACTGTAATTCTTTCATTTATGAAATTATAGCAATTTGAATTTTTTTGGCGAGTGCTCGAACTTTGAGGCCTGGTCCCGCCCCTTCAGTATTTACGAAAAGTCAATTTTATTGTCTCATTTTAATCGTCCGTCGCTTCTGTTCGATCGCACACTATTTTTGAGACGATCGTGCGAAAAATGACCAAACTGTTCAACCAAATATAGACCCAAGAAATGGCCGAAACAGGGTCAAAATGGCCACTTTAGTCCAAAATGGCCGACTTCCTGTTTGATATTGACCATGGATGCAAGAGGCTTTTCTGTGCGTATTGTTGAGTTCTACAAGTGTACCAAATTTCATAACTGTACGATAAACTAAGCTTTATGGAGAGGGGTATTTTTCACTTTCTAGGGGGCGCTGTTCAGCCATTCTTTTATGAACTTTCACATTGCCAGTGAAATACGTAAATTTCACGCACTTTCAATATTGGGCCAGAATTTGGTGACTTTTTGGATATGCTAAGACCCCCTAAAGGCCAGTCAAAGACGCGGAAGAAAAAAGAAAGAAAGCGTAATAATAAACGGAGCAGATACAATAGGCCTTCGCAGCTTCACTGCTCGGGCCTAATTAAAGCTGCAAGCAGCGTCGTTCGGCCCTCGCAGCGAAGCTGCTCGCCCTCCGTCCGCATCCCCTCCGCTTCATCACGACTCTCTCCAAACCCAGCTCCGCACCGCTCCGTCCTGGCCGGTAGTCAAGGGCATGTCTGTGGAACAGAAACGTTGACCACCTCGACACCAGAAACCGCCAACGGTCACCTCGTCCGCACCTGACTCAGCATCCCCTCTGAGGCCACCATTACATTACACGTCTCACCACTAGGGCATACTCAGAGTATCCCTTATCACAGGTGTGGAGGTAAATGGTAAATGGCCTGTATTTGATATAGCGCCTTCTAGAGTCCTGGAACCCCCCAAGGCGCTTTACAACACAATCAGTCATTCACCCATTCACACACTGGTGGGGATGAGCTACGATGCAGCCACAGCTGCCCTGGGGCACACTGACAGAGGCGAGGCTGCCGAGCACTGGCGCCACCGGTCCCTCCGACCACCACCAGCAGGCAATGTGGGTTAAGTGTCTTGCCCAAGGACACAACGACAGCGACAGACTGAGCGGGGCTCGAACCTGCAACCTTCCGATTGCGAGGCGAGCACTTAACTCCTGTGCCACCGTCGCCCTTGTACATGCAACATGTGTGACAAAGGCACAGCAATCAATTTCTAACTCTTTTACAGAAGATCATTTTGCTGTTCACATGACGTTTCTTCTTAAATTGAAGGCAGACCTACAAGCTTTTCTTCAAGGCTGGAACAACCATCCTCTTAGAACAGAAGGAAACCAAACTCCTGAGCAGCTATGGTACACAGGAATGATGTGGCACCCGACCCAGCAGCCAGAGTAAGTTGAGGTGCATTTCTTTTTAATTCATTCAAAATAAAAAGGAATGAGTCCTAAGTGAACAGCATCAAATGTGAAACAAATTAAAGTATTTGGAATGAATGTTAAAGTTCATTTGCTTAAATGGATCAGCTGGTAAAATAGCTTGAAAAGTTTGGTAATCCACATAAGGTTTAAACAAGTCAATATTGGCTAATAACTGTGATGCAATAAGGGAATGATAATAATTGTGGTGTTTAAATTTGTTTGGTCCACTTATCAGGATATTCAAGAGCCGGACATTGACTGGGATGTGGCAGCTGAATATGGAGTAGTTGCGGACGTTGTGATTGTGATTCCAGAATTTGACAGTCCACTGAAAGAACAGCAGGTAGCAGCGCTTCAGTTGCTGATTGATGAAAATATTGGACATACGAACACTACAAACTTGGGGTTGTATGAACTAGTCGATTTCACTGCTCTGTAGTGACTTTTCATGTTTGTCATCGAGTAGTCTCTTCCTAAAGACAGCAGGTGACAAGCCCCTGCTCATCGGGAGGTACCGCGCTGTGCCAGAGTGTCTTTATTGACACCCGCGGTAAAACGGACATTGAACCAACATAAACTCCTCAAAACTTTTAAATAAAATGCCTGTGAGACCCTTTGATGTGGACATCATTTTTACAGTACAGACGCTCTTCCTTTTGTATTTTTTGTGTCCCTGAGTCACCTGTCCACAGATCATGCACACAGGGTTGTTTTGCACCCTGGATTTATTTCCCTCCCCAAAGAAGGAAAGCTCCTGTTTACACTTGTAAAGCGTGTCCCTGGACCATGATGGGGATGGAGACGAGGTAGCAGTGGCCTCAGGAAACACCAGACTGGCAGAAGGCTGGAGCGACGCAGGGCTGGAGCTGGACTGAACAGAGACCGCTTAGGCACAATGGGCCTGACTGTGTGCCAAGGGGTTTCAGATAGCGTAGAGGTGGAAGAGGCTACAACTGTTTCACAACTCACAGGAGTCTGTTTTCTAGGCTGTAGCAGAGACTGAGGTTGAAATTGAGGCTTCACCTGGGGCTGAAGCTGTGGCTGAGTAGCAGCAGGCCGAGAGACTGGCATCGCAAGGTCCGTCCTGTTCCTTAAAACCTTGTCCAGGACATCAGCAGAAAAGCCAGCAGAGGGACCAGGAGGAGTAGTGGAGCCAGAAGAAGCAGCTATCGGACCAGCAGGGGATTCAGAAGCAGAGGGATCAGCAGGAGCAGGAGAACCAACAGCCGCTGTAGAGCAGGAGCCTTTGGCGACGTCCTGGTCGCTGCAGCTCCTATTGTTGGTTGCTTTGAGATGAGGGAGTCTAAAAAGACCACAAAAAATTTGTAGTGTGCGTTGTTTAAGCTTGGAAGGTGCAAATTAGATTTGTTCTGCCCCATACCTTCCACAGATTTACAAGCAGCCACCATCTCTGCATCATCATCCAGCCACGACAGAGGGTGTCTCTGGGAGGGGCGTGATTCTTCCTGCTGAGCAAACAGGAAAAGCATCAATTAAAGACTTAGTTAACTTGAAAATTTTACTAATTATGTTTAAGGCTAGAAATAATTTACTGCCAACTAATCTACAAAGGTTCTTTGTTTTGATCCCAAAAAATGATAAGAGTAGAAAGAAACCAGAGTTTAAAAGGATATTTGTTCGTACTACATTAAAGCAAATGTGTATGTTAACATATGGTGTGAAATTATGGAATAACCTGGATGATGAATTAAAAAAATGTACAAGTACTGGTCAATTAAAAAAAATGTATAAAGATAAAAGGCTAAAATCGTATGATTTGGTGGGTTTAGGATGGAGGATTAATGTTTTAGTAGTGATATTATTTGTGGAAGTAAGAGAGCGGTTTATTTTTTGTGTATAAGGCTATTTTGTACTTTTTGTTATTTATCTTGTCTTAGTTAAAGGGGGTAGGTCATATAAGATTTTTTCTTCTTCCTCCCCCTATTTCACTCGAATGCTTATATTCTAATTTGAAGTTTGTATATTTAAACTTTGAGTGAAATAAATTATTGAATTGAATAAACAGGGAGCCCAGTGTGCGCCCCCCAGTGGAGGGTTAAGGTATTTATATTGTGCCGTATCACACACCATGGTTGGAGGAAGACGAAGTAGTTCTTGCTGAAAACGCTGAAAAGTAGCGGGGGCGTTCCTCAAACCGAACGGCAACACGGTGTACTGGAGCAGGTTATCTGGAGTGACGAAAGCAGACACTTTAGATGCAAATGGAGTTAGCGGCACCTGCCAATAGGCTTTTAGAAGATCTAGTTTAGTAACAAATGTAGCTGAACCCACACTATCCACACAATCCTCTACACGAGGCAAAGGAAACGAATCTGGGACGGTTTTTGCATTTAACTTGCGGTAGTCAGTAACAAACCTATATGAGCCATCAGGTTTATTTTCCAGTAAACATGGTGAGCTCAAGGAAGTGGTGCTGGGCTTTGCTAGGCCATGTTCTAATAGATAAGTTACTTCCTTTCTCATTAGTTCCCTCTTCATCGGACTAGCCCTGTAAGGGTGCATATGAACGGGGACGGAATCAGTAAGGCTGATGTCATGAGTTATTAGGTGGGTCTGACTGGACACGTCTGAAAATAGTTCCGGAAAAGAGTGAATTAGATGAGAAAGCTCCTCCTGTTGCGAAGAGGTGAGGTGACCCAAACTGGACGACAGGTTGGAGAGCTTCGGAGTTGCAGAGACGTGGGGTGACAGGGGGCAGCAAACTCCACGCCACAGCATCATCTTGCACAGTATCAGGCAGTGGGGGAGAAACCTCTGCAGAGACTAAACAAGGCTGAGTCACAGCGGTAGCACGTTCATGAAATAGCTTCAAACGATTCACATGGCAAGTCATGGTTTTCTTTCTCATTAGAGGAGTTCTGATCACATAATTGGATTCACTGAACTTGGAGAGAACCTCAAAAAGCTGCAGCCAGGGAGAGAGAGGTGTCGGCGCGCTAGGATGATGTCGACGCCAAAACAACCAAAACAAAGTGGAGACTCACCTCTCACATCAGGAAGAATCTGCGTGTTTCGAGCGTTATCTGTTCTTTCATAATCCGTTGTTGAATTGTGATCGGCAGAAGCTTTTCTGGTTCGCGCCTCACTTTTTACAGCAGCGGCCCACGTCAAGACGTCGTTTCTGTTACTGATAAGGAAATGCGTGCGTTAAGCAGCGCGGTCTGTAGAAGCTGTCATCAGCTGATCAGGAGCTGCTAGAGGTAGATGTTTTCATCCAAGAGCATCACGGCCCATGAAGAACGAGGAAGACGTGATGAATATCTACGGCTGCAGACCCGCCGCAGATTTGCTGCTGTAGGTGGGAATCTGCAGCAGTGAATCTGCGGGTCTGCAGCCGTGCCCTTCTTGGCGTGACAGCGGGACGTCCCGAAGGTCCGCTCACCTGTTCACCGCTCAGACGTCCTGATCTTTTGCCTTCCTAGATCATCCAGCTGTAACCTGTTCCTGATCATGTCTTTAGCCCCGCTGTAACACTGATGCATCAGTCTCAAACGACATGGAGCTCAGGTGTTATTAGAACCTGTGTGTGTTTACCACCCAGCTTCAGCTCTTCTGTGGTTGGGTCTGACCCACGTTAGTACATTTAAGTCCTCCATCAGGCTTGTGCCTCTTCTAGTGTCATTTTAAAGGATTTTATTTATTTATTTAACCGTTACTAGATTAGCAGCAACAGAAATGCTGCTAAAAACACACAATTATGTGAAGCTGGAAGAATTAGAATACTGTGCAAAATTACATTTATTTCTGTAATTTAACTAGATCGAGATACAATTTAAAGGCTCGGGAACCTTTACAGGTGTTTCTATTTGCAATTTTAAATTTTAGCTGATTGGGGTCTTGTTAAATATCACACAGAGACCTTTTAATAGTCTAGATTAGTGTAATGTTCCTGTTAGTAGTTCTTCCTGTGAAGTGCTTATTTATTGAAATTATTCAGGTTTATAAAAAACATTTGGACATACATTTTATTATGTTCCAGTCATTAGTCATTTATATTTACTATTGTAGTAATTCTTGCATTCTTTAATGAAAAAAGTAACTAAGTAGTTATTTTTGTTGGTAATCAGTTACTTTTATGATCTTGTAACTGAGTTACTTTTTTGACAAAGTAATCAGTAACTATAACTAATTACTTTTTTAAAGTAACGTTCCCAACACTGATTAACGCACAGGCCAGAGTTTCATCTGCCCGTGTTAGGAGAACGGGACCTGCTCTAGCTGTGAGAATGCCGTGTGTGTGCGCTCACCATGATGACCAGTAGAATATTCTGGAAGTCATTTCTGAATCCCAGTGTGGAGCTGCAGAACAGAGCAAAGTTTCCTTCCAGGAGTTGCAGGGTAAAAAATAGGCTTGCTCAGTCAAACTGCACACGCACGCACATAAATCATTTTTGTTCCGTGAGGATTTATTCCACACTCACCATGAAACCCAGTGAGGTAAAGAGGAAGACTACGACCAGTTTGGCGTATGGTCCGTGTCCCATCACGAGCCTGATTCCTTGAAAAAAGGCATGGGCTGTGACCAGACCTGGGAATGCTCTAAAAACAGAAAATAAACCAGAAACAGTCAGAACACCACCTGATACCTGTACAAGTCTCTAGAAGCATGTTGCTTTGATTCCTCGCAACATCTTTCACCTAGTCAGCTGACTTTCATGCTTTTCCTTATTGCCTTTAGATTTGACCACAGCTTTGGCTTGATCACACGGCCCGTATTGCTCAGCTACAACTGTCTCGTTATTGGTCACAGTCAAGCCCCTTCATCACATCACATCACTGTTTTTCATGGAACTTGAAATCAGATTTACAAAATAATGGATCATGCAAAATCATAAGATCTGGTGTAATTCGATATGAATGACTGACCTAAAAAATGAACAGATTTCAGATGAATATGTAAAACCAACAGAGTTGGTGCCATTTTTGTGTTTGCTGATGAAACTTATCTGTGGTAGCCATCTTTTGCCAAGTTAGAGCTAAAAGCTAGTCTGAGCTAACCGCTAGTTTGAAACAAAAGCTAGTCTTAGTCTGAGCCAAACGCTAGTCTGAGCAAACCGCTAGTCTGAGCCAAAAGCTAGTCTTAGTCTGAGCCAAACGCTAGTCTGGGCTAAGTGCTAGTCTGAGCCAAAAGCTAGTCTGAGCTAACCGCTAGTCTGAGCTAACAGCTATGCATCCTCGAACAATTCTCCGGACATCGTTTACTGCAAATCGTGATAATCTCAACAAACATTAGTCAGCTAGCAAGTAGCTAGTTTTTGCTAGCTTTAGCTTTAACATCGATTGACTAACCTTATGCCGGCTTCTTCTCCTGGACTGTCTGGAAGTGAGGGGGCGGCCTCTGTAAAACACGGGAATCGGAGACGAATGTGACGTTGCTGTGTCGTTAAAGAAACTTATTGGTTTATTTTGAATTTTCCGATTTTGCCTTACTGATTGGAGGATTAGCGCATTGTGTTTTCTAAAGACTTCAACCTTATTGGGAGATATTTTTCCACGTGATGTATTCTATCCCACTGATTGGCTCAAGTTCGGGTATAAATTTTTCAATCTAACTGCCACTCACGTCTTTGAACAAGACTCGTTTCAGTGCGCACTGCGTAGGCTTGCTTGGGGTTTTGCCTTCTTTTTAGCGTTGTAAAGCAGCATTTTGGAGAATATTTCATTCGTGCTTATTGTTATCTGTCGTTTGTTTGTTTGTTTTTAAGCAATATTAGCTGTATTCAGCTGGCGTGTTCACTTCTTATTATGGTAAGTAATACTTACATATTTGCTGTGTCGATTTTTACGCAAGCAGCTTCATTATTCTTGTGATATAATTTGGAAAAGAGTAAAGTAGTTTTGTTGAATCTGCAGCATGAGTGAGTGTCCATGTGGCACGTGATGTAACATTTAACGGAAAGACACGAAGGGGGGGTGGACTCGCGCTGCGGCGAACCGGTTCCGCCGTTACATTCCCGCAGAAACTGGTTGATCACACCGGGACCAGAGTCGAGTCTCAGACATTGGGGTTTTACAACCACAATGTCCTAGGAAGCGAAAACGCTTTTAAAAGGGAGGGAGGAGTCCTAACTGTTGCTGCAGGCTGTAACGGGGTGACTCGAGCTGGGCGAGAGTTTGGAGGTGGCGTGGCTTTTAACCCAAGCGCGGAGTGACTGACGCCGGGTTGAATGGACACGCTGTTCAGGGAGCCGAGTGCGCAGCTGAACACGGCGAGTCCTGGTCTGAGGCTGGTCTCTAAGAACAGGCAGGATTCTTAGATCTAGCTGGTCTTATCTGAACAGGCTTCGTGATCTGAGACAATCTGGTTTGGACTCTGGGTTAGGTTCGGTTCGAACGATGACTTTGGTTTTATGCTTGACGCATTCACTTTCCGCGCGGTGATGCGGCTCGCGGATGGAACGTGCTTCACAAATCTCAGTGTTTATAGTTTGTGCGGCTTGTCTCTGCGGTGAGCCAATATTCTCCCAAACTGAACGGGGCAGCATGGAGCTGTACAGCATGCATTCAACACAACACCATAGTAGAAGTAGAACTTACTGTTTACAACATGGCATTTCAGCATTTTAAACAGCGTTCTCGTCTTATCCGACAGTACGAGCTATTTTTCTCCAAGAACTATTAACAACATGTTGATCACGGTGACCTCTGAGAGCTGAATCATACTAATGTCTATTTACGAACCTCTGCCATAGTAGTTCTTGCTGGTCCGCCATGTTTTTCCGCGTGGTTAGAAATTTTCCGAGGTGCGCGTTGCGGAAATTCTGGGCCGTGCGGAGGCGCGGTGGAGGGGCGTGGTTGTTAAAATGACGAAACTTTTCCGCGCGGAGCCGTGCGGACCTCGCACCTGGTTGGTTAAGCTTGATGGTTGATGCCGACGTGAGTCGGTGTTGTGCGGCACTTCCTTAAATAGATTTGGCGGGTGACGTGAACCGGAAGCCTGGCGCTGGGGATGTTGGGTAATGGAGTTTGAGCGGCTCTGCGGTGCCTCCCTAGAGGAGGTTGACAGCTGAGAGGGAGGTTGCGTGAGTGACACAGGCGTGTTGTGTGAGAGTGCAGTTATTTACTGGTTAATAGGGCTGCTCGATTATGGCAAAAATAATAATCACGATTATGGTGACTGAAATTGAGATCACGATTATTTAGGACGATTTTTCAATTTATGTTGATTTTATTTGTTTTTATTCAGTCATAAAATTGCTCAGGGCACAATCAGGACAAAAATAATAAACTAGATGATCACTAAAATAACTCCTGATTCCCAGTATAAAAAGACCAATATACTTATAGCTCACAGTCTATGACCCAAGGGCTATAGACCTTGGTTTAACTCATTTAAGTCTAACCAGTACAGACCCAAATACCATTACCTTGCAAATACTGACAGCAAGAATTATACAGTGACATTCATAACAAATAAATGCAAAGAAATTGATGTTCACAAAATGTTGCATAACATTGAGTCGTGTCAAGGTGCTGTAGGAGAGTGCACAAGCACCGTGTCCTCAGAGATTAGTTATTATTTATCAGCGTGAGGAACTTATTTCTACCTTATTTATAAACTATTTATTTACAGGTCCATCAGTTAATGTAATAATTGTCCCAACCACAGCTGCACCCCCCAACCCGGTCTCACAGCAATCGGGGCAAGCTGCACGTGTGTTTAGCGCGCCGCACACGCACATTTAGTCATTTTTAGTGGCTCAGGAGTCCGCAGGTGCGGTGTGTGTGTCACTCACTCTGGTTAATCCAACAGGGAGCAAATAATCGGCTTGTTTTGTTTTTTTATAATCGTTCAAAACTCAGATCGTAATCGTGATTAAAATTCGATTAATTGAGCAGCCCTACTGGTTAATATATTTTTGGGTTCAGTTGCTTTCATGTGGCCTAATGTGAGTCGATTTGGGATCGTTGGAATGATCAGCAGCATTTTTTGATGTGACTTATGGCAGTTGCCCAGGGCATCATCACAAGGAGGATGGCATTCATTTACTTTTGGTTTATTTGGTATTTTTTCAGTCATTTGTGGAAATAGTGATTAATTTTGATTAATTCACAGCCTATGTTTAATTACATTTAAAAATTAGTTGTTTGACATCCCCAATTATAATAAATGTCTACAGATGAGATCAAACAAAACAGATGAGAATTGCCCTTAAAGAGCAAGTCACCCCCAAATCAACTTTTTTTTTGCTGATAAAACGTGGAAGTAACGTGCATATTTGAGTCACTTCTGTTTTATGTTTCTAACAGAAACTTGTAGTTTTTCACATTTGAATGTAATATTGTCAAAAGTTTATTTTTGGCTCCATGGAGAGCTAAGTCCAACCAGCCATTCCTCCCCATCCCCGCATATTTCTCTCCTCCTGCTCCCTCACATCATCACACAAACATACACATAGGACCTTGGGGGGTGGGCATATCAGGGAGTGTGGGTATGGACCCCATTTCCGCATTCCTGTGGAAACCTGCCCCCCAATTTTATTTGCACCTTATACACTTCCACTGACGACATTCCACACAAACACACACTTAGGGCCTTGGGAGTGAGCACATTCAACGGCATTTGGCAGGGGGATATGTCAGCCTCCTCCAGGGTGCCGGTGGCCACTTTCAATTTTAAAGTGCACTTAGACACAGAGGGCTGTGGGGCGGTGTGGTGGCATCAACTGGCATGGGCAGACAATGCCCGCACTGCCCGCTCACCACAGCCGTGGAATACACCTCATCAACGAACACTAACTATATTGGAGCAGGCGGAGGGAGACTAGGGGTCTTAGCACACCTCTGTTGTTGCTTGGCTTCCTGGGGCTGGAGGCTAGGAGGGAGATCTGGCTGTCTGGTTGGGGTCTGGGGTGGTGGGTTGCTGTGCTCAGCATTGGGCGGGGGAGTCTGTTCATCAGCACCCCAGCAGAAAGGGTCAAACTCTAGTAATGGTTGTACCCAATGTGCAGCAGTACCAGGGCTAGGGTGTGTATAGGGAGCATAAGTGGGTGTCTGGCGTGCATTTTTAGAAGTCTTTGGTTGTATGTGTATGTGTGAGCATGAGAGGGAGTGTATTACTGTGTTTGTGTATGACTGTATATGTCAGGTGGGGCCTTTGACTTCTCCCTTCTCCTGGGACTTGTTTTGATGATATAGATCTTCGTCTCCCCTCTCCCTGTCACACCTGGTGTGGAGTGTGGTACCTTGGTCTGCCTGAATGTTCGTGGCTCCCGGGTCAGGGGGTTTAAGATTTTTGGCATCTGTCTGATCAATCCCGGTGGCTGCCTGGTGGGGTCTGGGTCCCTGGGCTCTGCTGGGTCCCAGGCGGGGGGTGGGAGGCTGCAGGTGGGCTTGCCTCTGATATCTCCCGGGTCTCTGCCAGCTGCTGCTTGTGGTCCCCCCGGGGCGATCCTCTGCACCTCTCAAGGGGGCGGGGGCCTTTCTGGTTGCAGTCTCCTTGGGGTTTTTGTGTTCTGGGGCAGCGGCTGGATCTCTGGGACTTGGAGCTCTCTTAGTCTCCTACACATCTTTGAGGGCAGGTCTGTGGCCCCTCACACTCTCTATTGGACACTCCTATAGAGAAACCTTACATAAACAAGCGTGTGTACACATACAGGTGCTCACATAAGTATGGACTTGGGCACGTTCAACACATGTCTTAAGGCTGTCGTTGCCACTAAATGCACTATGATTTATTATTATCGTGTGATTGTATTTCTTCAAGTTGACACAGTGATAGCTTGCTCCTGTTGTGTTGTTGTGTGTCCCATTTTTTTTTCTCTTTCTCTTTCTGCAGGCCTAGAAGCAGACTCTTGTTCATTGTTTATTTTTGTGGACCACCCCCCCCCCCCCCCCTCTTTTCTGCCCCTACCTTTTGTCTTTGTCTTTATCTTTCGCCTCTGATTCAGTGTCTGGTCGGAATTACAAAGTATTCAAAAACAATAAATTTTAAAGTATCAGACGTGACATTAGCTTTGATGCTCCAATTGAGAGTAAATCTGTAAGGCTTTTCACCAACATTCAGACATCAATTCTGTTTGCTTCACAGCCAGACAGGACACGGGGGAAAAATAATGATAAAAATAATGTAATATTGTGAGTTTATTTTTAGTCATGCCAAGTTTAATGTAGAAATAAGTAGGGCTGCAACTAACGATTATTTTCATAATCGATTAATCTGTCGATTATTTTTTCGATTAATCGATTAATCGGTTTGTTATTGTTTAGCTATTTAACCTATACAAGTGATGGATGCATTTCAGTTAAGAAAAAAAAACATAAGAGAATTGTGCAGTTGACTGCAATCTATTTTATTGCACATGAACACAGTCAGCAGTATAAAATGAGCTAAACAGTGCAAAATATCAGTCCAGAATAATTTTTTAGCATTAGCTGGAAGCCTGCTCCTTCCACCATGGATAGTGGCCTCATGTCTTTTACCAGCATGTTTAGAATAGAGTTTGTAAGTGGTATGAATTGCTGGGGGGTGAGTGTCTCTTTTCCCATGTAGTTGTCCATCGTTGCTTGTTTTTTTTCTGCATAAGAAACACAAATAGACTGAAATAAGTACACATATAAAATAAAGCAGCACACACACTACAACACTAAATCAATATTATATTATTTGAATTAATTAACAATATACAGTGATCATTTATTTTGAGGGTTACGTTCTACAAAATAGCCCGCAACAGGAGATATTCAGAAAAAAAGTCTAATTTTTTTACTATTAAAAAGCTCTAAGTAAGAAGCTCATGAGGTTTTTACTTTGAGTCGGGAGTGTTTAAATTAGCTAGAAAAATGTGAAAAATGATTATTTTGTGTAATACTGTTTAAGAAACATGATAAAAATGTGTTGTGAGGCGTTTTACAGCGTTAGATAGTAAAACAGCCTTTTAATAGTAAAAAAATGACTTTTTCTGAATTTCTCCTGTATTTAAAAATTGAAAGCGTACAACTATGCCGCGTTATATTCACCTGGACACAGCTCGTCTGTATATTTTTCACCGCGGAGTTGTCCTTTTTTGAATGAGAAACATAGTTATGGGTTTGTGCCGTTTTTCTCTTAACTAGAACATTCTTATAAACAGACGTGCTAAATTTGGCAAGCGCATGATTCACAACACGGAGGAGATTCACGATTGCATCTAGTCAATCAGAAGTAGAACACCGTAGACTGACGCGGCAAAAAAACATGTTTAACATCCACTATAACGAACTCAGCTAAAACACTAAGTCCAGCTTGTTTATTTTCTGTTACTTACCGGGCTGGCTCTTCCAAATGACGGCTCACTTGACCGCGGTGCTCTTCCTCAGCCCCCACGTTTTCGTCTCAAATGTTCACTTAGGGACGTCGTGCTTCCGTGCCATGCTAGATGGTTTTTGCATATTTTGCCTTTTCAATGCATCTAGTGAAGTGCTCCCATACTCGTGAGGTTTTTGTCCGGGGTTTCTCTAAAATTTTGTCGCTTCTATTTTTCTTCCGTATTTCCTCTTGTTCCGCCATCTCTCACAGCAAGATGAGCGTCAGTAACGTGATACGTCATGAAAACCGAGGGCACTCATTGGCTCATTTCTTCTTCTACGGCTGCACTGGTAGATCAGTGGCTCATTACTGCCACACACTGGCGGCAAATTTAACAGCTTGTAACCGATGTCAGATTGTGGTAAAAATAGACTTTATGCGGTAAAATATGATTATTAAACAACTAATCGATGACTAAAAAAGTTGTTAACTATTTTAATAATCGATTATAATCGATTAAATCGATTAGTTGTTTCAGCTCTAGAAATAAGTAAAACGTTATTAAAAGTTACAGTACTTAAAGCTAAACTGAGATTATGTAAAATAATGTAATACCATAAGACTAGTCAAAAGTTTGACTGATAACAATGGGGTGTTTAAACTATTAAAGTTGCATTGTTTAAGACTAAATTAAAGAATATAACTGCATTGTATGAAATATTCAGTCACAACATAAATAAATGTTTTTAGTACATGTATTGCTGACTATTTGAATTAGTCTAAGCATTCTATATAGAATACAGCAGGTGTATGTGCACTTTCATAAGTGCAAGTAAGTTCTAATAAAACTTGACATTTAATAACTTTTGATATTTTTAAACAATAGTTTGAAATTTAGCATGATTTAAAACTTCATTCTTGGGGTTTGATTAGATATTTTCATTTTTATATTATGATTCCTTGTTCAGGGGTTATCAGTAAAGTAGTAATAATTATGTTAATGTATTTTGTCATAGATGTCACACACAAGTTATTAATTTTTATCCTTTAAATTAGATTATACTGTGATTAACTCATTTAAAGAGCAAGTCGCCCCCAAATCAACTTTTTTTTCTGATAAACTATATAAATGTGTGTCTAATCGTGCTACAGAAATGTGTAGTCAATAGTTTTGCACTTTAGTGCATTTTAGTTAAGATTTTAATTTTCTGCCTAAAACTGTCAGTGTTGTGCCGTTGTCAGATAAAAACTTTGCACTACATTTGAATTTAAATCTGTCATAGCTATTGACTAAGAGGTACACAGTGATGTTAGATGGTACATTATGATGTCACAATGTTGTGAGTGTGTGTATTTGTTTGTGGCTCTACCCTCTCGGTCTGCTAGACAACAGCATTTGTTGCATTTTTCAAACAGGAAGTGGGAGTTGAGTAAGAATCTGGTCATGGGTGACTTGCTCTTTAAAATTTAGGATTGTTTTTACAATTATATAAGTTTAGCAAATTGATGGTTGTATAAGATTCTAAAAGGTGTGAGTGAGTGAGTCTAATTCTGTCTTTACCGAGTACAGACACATGATAACATAGAAATCCATAGTGTTTGTGTTGCTTTTCTAATAGTGCTGTCATGTATTTTATGTTTCAAACAGCATTCACTATGCCTGGCAAAGAGTCCAAACGCAAGGCGGATGCTGCTAAGCGCAGCAATCGTCCAGCTCCGCCTATTCGTATCGGGATTCCAAGGCACAGCAACGATGATGTTAATTGTATGTATTGCAGTATTATTTCGCAGAACAAATTATTGTAGTGTTTTGCAATTCATTTAATCTATACTGTATTTATGTAAGATGAAAAATTATTAGCCAAAAAGATTGTTAATTTTTGTGTGTGTGTTTTTGTTTTGTAAGTTTCGGGAACTGGCTTTCGTCATCGAGTTCGTCGTTGGCCGACCAGTGTGATTTCTAACAAAGCTCACAAGTTGGTCCTTCCAGATGAGATTCCTGACAAGAAAGTGAGTGTAATGTCCACAAATATTTAAAATATAAATATAGATTTTCTTCCAATACTATCTAGCAGTACTCTGGGATTCTAAGGAAACGGTCAGATGGTGTTGAAGCCGCTATCAGTTACAGTGCTGCAAACAGACTGAATCGGCTTCTTTTTGACTTGTGCCTAAAGTCTACCAACTTTTGAATCTTAATAGAAAACCTAGTTGTGTTCATCTTCCTTTTTAGTCGGTGCTTCTCAATCTGTGATTTAGAACTTAAGCTGCTCAGTTATTTTTACATATCTTTATTTGTATTTATGTTGGTGTATTCTGTGATTAGTTTTACCATTTCATGTTTTATTGTTTGTAAACTTTGACTGTTTAATGTTATCTCTTTCTTCCTGAAAAGCATATTGCATTGCCGTTTGTATGAAATGTCCTAAAAATACAGATTGTTTTATATTGAAATGTATTTATTAATTTTTCTAATTTAGTTCGTCCTACTTGTTGGGGACTCCCACTTGAGGTCCGTGGCAGATGGCATAGTCCCTATGCCGGTTGGCGGCCTTGCTTTTGGTGTGATGTCCACTCCAGGAGCTTGTGCAGATCTTCTGCGCCTTGAGGTTTCACAGGCTGTGTTACCTCGGGAGCCTGATGCTGTTTGCGTCATGGCTCCTTCTAACAACCTTACGGCCAGCAGAACAGTTGAAGAGGCAGGGGATGCATTTGAGCGGTACCTTTTGGCTGTTCTCAGTCGCTGGCCTAAGGTGAGAGGCTGATTTGTGTAATTTTGAAGGTATGAGAGATGACAGTAAACGTACATCCTTAAAAATAATTGTATTCTTTCTTCTTCTTTTTTTTTTTTAGGTTTTCTGTACCTCCATGATTCCCCGTTTAGTTGGATCCTGGGAGCGTCAAGACCTGTTTCAGCAGGAGTACCACCGCAGATCGGCTAAGCTAGGTAAGTTGTAACATAATTAGATGAAAAGGTAGTATTAATGACGAGCGTTATTGCTATTTACTCTTAGGTATCAAACAATCACAATTTATAACTTTACATGAATTTTTTCCTTCTGCTTCGAAGGTGTAAGTTATGTGCCGATCCACGATCACCTACCCAGGTACCGTCTTAAACTGTGGTGCCGTGATGGTGTAAGTATATTGCTTGGAAGAAAACAAGGTAAAGGTTCTTAAATTTGAGATGATAAATTTGTATTTTCTTTTGTTGGTTTTTGTGGTTGCAGATCCACCTCAGTGATAATCACGGGATGCCTATACTCACGCAACTGATGTGGAATGCCTCCTATCAGTTCTTGGAGACACACGCACCAAAGCCACTGGTGCAGCACCAGGTGTCTCGTCCGCAGAAAGCGAGTATTGTGCCCCGTGTGGTTGTGAAGGGTGTGGAACGCATTCCACCTCCACGCCCTTCCGAATGGACGTTTGTGAGACCTAGCGGGAAGGTGAGAGACTTTATAAAGTATAAATATTGTAAAATGTTTATAATTTTAGGCAACTGGGCCACTAATGCTTCTAAATGTGTTTTCTTTTATTTACCATTGCAGAGGAACCATTCAGGGGAATTTGAAAAGACTTCTAATCCCCCCAAGAAACGAGTGGTTGTTTCTAAGGTTTGTGAATGTTTTTGATTTATCTTTTTCAAAGAATTTTGATTAGATGATAATATGTGGTGAATTTTCTTCAATAGGCTGATGACACTTCAGTGGCCTTGAAGGAGTGTTTCATCCCCCTGAATCCCGTTAGGTTCTCACCTTCAATTCTGGCTGCCATGGACACGATTGCTCCAGCGGATGGTCCCACAGACATACAGGTAGCTTTAAAGCAAAAGTTTATTATTATCTTTTAATGTAAAGTGTAATGTTGTTCCTGATGCTTGTAATATGGGCTGTCTATATGGTATATTTGAAAGTATTGTACTTAACCGTATTATTTTCTGTTTGTAGACTACATCTGTGCGACATTTTAAGAAAGCAGCTAGGCGTGTCCAGCAGGAGGTTGATTCATTAAATTATCTGGCATACAAATACATTGTGGTGTTATTTTTCTTCACCGTTGTTGTTCTTGAATTATAGGTTGCATCCACACCTTGCATAAATCCTCTTGCAGACGTGGAGTCTGTTCGGTCTAGGAAGGAGGTAAGAAGCGTGTGTTTCAAATATAAAAACTAAACTAATCTTTATTGACGATGTATTGACCTTTAATTTCTTCTGTATAGGTGTTGGACTGTGACCAGCTGCCTTCACCCCACCACCAGGAGGCATCTGGTTGTCCTGGGTCTGTCTCTGGGTCTGTTGCTGCCCATGCTGTGATGCTTCCTTCTGGCCATCACGCGCATGCATCACCCAGAGGTCAGTCTGCTAACACCCCTTCTTGCGTGCGTTCACAGGTTTTGCTGTCGTCTCTAGTTCCAGAGACAACTGTTCAAAATCCTGTTGTAAATAATTTTGATAAAGATAAAACAATTTTACACAACGATGATACAATTTTAGACTCTGTCCTAGGATCATTTCATCAGGGCGATGGGCGTTTTAAATATGGGGGAGTTCAGTGTGCAGCTATTACTGTTGTTGCTTTAACAAAGCACAAACAGAAGAGTGTTTTCTCTTGGGATTTTGCCGTGTTGGATAACGTTGTTGAGTTAGGAGATGAGCTGTACACAGATTTGCGCGACAACAAGAAGATTAGAGGTGGACATGAGTTTCTCTCAGTTCCAGACTTGCCAAAGGAAATTGACATGGAAGAACAGAGTTTTAAGCTTGTTTACGGGGATTTCGTTTTAGGAGATGTAGATGTAGCTGAAGGCGAGTTAATAGATGCTGGTGTGTACACTCCTCTCCTGGATGGATTGAAGATGTGCACACAGCATGAAACTTGCATTATGACATTAAGTGGCAATACTTGTGCTATCATTTGTGATAATGGACGTTATGCTGTAGTAGATTCCCATGCACGCTCCGCAGACGGCATGGTAGACCCGACAGGACAGAGTGTAGTTCTGTACTTTGCGAACCTTGATAATGTTTTTCAACATTTTCAGAGGTTTGCTAGTGAACTGGTGGGATCTCAGAGGTTATTTGAGATCACTGGAGTGGATATTGTTCAGATGGACACATTTAAAAATGTATCTGAACAAACAGATGACATTGACATAAACCCTGTTATTTTTGTTAGTGATGCTAGTACTAAAGATTTTCATTTCAGTCCCGTTTCTACAGACGTGTCACAGGCGTTGAGTAAATGTCTGAATGTGAAGTCTGCGATGGTTGAATCATCTCCTGTTCCTTCATGTAGCACAAGTGTGGTTAACGTTGATGATGACAACAGTATTGTAAACAATGATACAATTTTAAGCTCACTTACAGGATCATTTAATCAGAGCGATGGGCGTTTTAAATATGGCGGCGTTCAGTGTGCAGCAATAAGTCTTGTTGCTTTAACTAAGCACAACATACAAAGTGTTTTTTCATGGGATTTTGCCATGTTAGACAATGTTGTTGTTTTGGGCGATGAGCTGTACACATATTTACGCGACAGTGATCTAATAAGTGCTGGGAATGTGTTTCTTTCTGTCCCAGAATTGCCAAAGGAAATCGTTATGGGCAAACAGACTTTTAAGTTGAATTATGGGGATTTTGTTTGTGGAAATGTAGATATCGTTGAAGGTGAACTTATAAATGCTGGAGTGTACACTAGTCTTTGGGATGGTTTGAATAAGATGTGTACACAATATGAAACATGTTTTTTTACACTTGGAGACAATACTTGCGCTTTACTTAGTGAAGATGGACATTATGCTATTGTTGATTCACATGCTCGTTCTGCAGATGGAATGGTTGACCCAAACGGTAAAAGTGTAATTCTATACTTTAGTAGTCTTGACAATGTTTTTAGATATATTCAGAGGTTTGCCAGTAAATTAAATGGAACTCAGAAGTTGTTTGAGATCAGTGGAGTTAACATTGTTCAGATGGACACATTGAAAAATGTTTCTGAACAAACAAGGTTGCCTCCAACAACAGGAAAGGAGGTTAGACGTGAAGAGTCATTTCCACTCTCGGAACCAAAAAAGTTACAGACAGATGACACCGACATAAACCCTGTTGTTTTTGTTAGTGATGTTAGCACTAAAGATTTTCATTTCAATCCCATTTCTAGGGACGTGTCTCAGGTGTTGAGTAAACGTCTGAATGTGAAGTCGGCAATGGTTGATGAATCATCTCGTGTGATTGGTGAATTGGGTGTACCATGCATGAATAAATCAATAGTGGCAGATGGAAACTGTTTTTTTAGAGCACTTAGTCAAGCTGTTTCTAGCACCCAGGAATATCATAGAAAAATCCGTCTTGCTTTGGTCAATCAGTTAAAAAAGAATCCTCAAATGTATCAAACCATTTTAAGAAGTGAGTATTCCTCGGTTTCGCAGTACCTCACCTCATCCAGGATGCAGTACGTTGGCAGTTGGGCAACTGAAGTGGAAATTCAAGCTGCTGCTGATTATTTTGGCATTAACATATTTACTTACTGTAATGATAAATGGCTTAAATATACATCCAACAGCATCTTTTCACAGCAGGCTGTTTATTTGGAGAATAGTAATGGTAACCATTATGAGACAGTGGTTTGTGTAAAACAACCTAACACAGGAACTTGTTATGGTTATTGTGGCCCTGTAAATAGTATTTCTGGTAGATACAATACTCGACATGCCCCTACAGAACATTTAAAATGTTCAGTAGAAACTGTCACACTTGAGCCGAGTTCCATAGATACAGATGGTGTTAGTGTTGTTCATTCAAATACTTTATTTACTCCTCTGTCTGCAGATTTTTGTAAAACTCTGTGTAATCGGTTGAAAATAGATTTTGAGAAACACAATTCTCAAGAATCCACATCAGGTGGGCCTTTAGGAAATGTGTGTAAGACAGAACATATTATTGAAGATGGTAACAGCTTTTTTAGAGCTGTAGCTCATGTAATTAGTGGGTCACAGAAGGGCCATCGTAAGATCAGACTCGCTGTTGTTTCTTATATGTCCAAAAATGCTGAAGAGTGTGAGAAGTTTCTGGGAAAAGAACATGCTTCTGTGTCAGAATACATAAAAAAGTCACAGATGAATTATGTCGGTCACTGTGCTACAGAAGTAGAATTTAGAACTACAGCCAGTGTTTTAGGATTACCCATATTTATCAACAATGGCACAGAGTGGGTCAAATATAGTTCTCAAACTGGTAATTTTGTCACTGAGGGACTATATTTGTCAAACTGTAATAATCATTTTGAGCCCGTTCTTTGCATAAGACTGGGTAATAAAGAAACATGTTTTGGGTTTTGTAAAGTTGATTCTTTGTCAGACAACGTAAACAAATGCAGAAGGTCAACTATGATGCAGTTAAATGCTGACCCAAACATGGAAAAGATGAAAACGAGGAAGAGTTTTTCCAGATATTTAAAGCAAAATAAGGCTTATGCAGAAGCCTCTAATTATAAAATGGTAAGTGCAGTTAAAGACAAAATAAAAAGTCAGAAGAAAAATGCATACAAGCAAAATGTTGCTTACAGAATGAAAAAGATCAGCGTGACCAAATTTAAATACAAATTTCTTCTTGCACATAAAGAGAAAGTTAAACATAAGGCCAAACATAGGTCCATTTTCAACTATCATCATAACTTGGCTCATCGAGAAAAGCTTAAACAGATGAGTGTGTATAAGTACCATCAGAATTTGGCTCATCGAGAGAAGCTTAAACAGATGAGTGTGTATAAGTACCATCAGAATTTGGCTCATCGAGAGAAGCTTAAACAGATGAGTGTGTATAAGTACCATCAGAATTTGGCTCATCGAGAGAAGCTTAAACAGATGAGTGTGTATAAGTACCATCAGAATTTGGCTCATCGAGAGAAGCTTAAACAGATGAGTGTGTATAAGTACCATCAGAATTTGGCTCATCGAGAAAAGCTTAAACAGATGAGTGTGTATAAGTACCATCAGAATTTGGCTCATCGAGAGAAGCTTAAACAGATGAGTGTGTATAAGTACCATCAGAATTTGGCTCATCGAGAGAAGCTTAAACAGATGAGTGTGTATAAGTACCATCAGAATTTGGCTCATCGAGAGAAGCTTAAACAGATGAGTGTGTATAAGTACCATCAGAATTTGGCTCATCGAGAGAAGCTTAAACAGATGAGTGTGTATAAGTACCATCAGAATTTGGCTCATCGAGAGAAGCTTAAACAGATGAGTGTGTATAAGTACCATCAGAATTTGGCTCATCGAGAGAAGCTTAAACAGATGAGTGTGTATAAGTACCATCAGAATTTGGCTCATCGAGAGAAGCTTAAACAGATGAGTGTGTATAAGTACCATCAGAATTTGGCTCATCGTGACAAAAAGAAAAAAATGAGTAAAAAGAAATACCTTAATATTGAGCATAAAACATGTTTAATAGAAAGTATCCAGCATAAAAGAAAGCTGATTAAAGTAAATTCACAAAACTTTAATTTTGTTGTAGATCAATTTTTAGAGAAGGTGAAAGATGGACCTGATTTTGTGTGTTGTGTCTGCTCACGGTTGTTGTTTAGACATCAGGTCTTAAATTGTAATCAAGAATACTATAGAAAAACCAAAGAAATGTCACTTATAGCAGATAAATGTATAAGTGACAATCATCTACACAAATGCAATGATGCCTGTAGATTACCTTGCAAATTGAATGTATGTAGAAATAAATTGTACATCTGTTACACGTGTCATTATAAAATTAGTAAATGTCAGATACCCCCAGAAAGTTCAATCAACAAGCTGACTGTTGATCCCATCCCACCTCAACTGGCATGTTTAAATACATTAGAGCAACATTTAATAGCGATGAATATACCCTTTATGAAAATGTTGGCTCTGCCCAAAGGTGGTCAGAATGGGATTCATGGTCCTGTCACTTGTGTACCTGCAAATATAGTGGAAACGTGCAGTTTGTTACCACGTACCAACATGGAGGGGTCTTTATTACCTGTAAAGTTAAAACGTAAATTGACATATAAAGGACACTATGATTATCAGTATGTTGACACACAGCATGTTCAGGAAGCTCTTCAGTATTTAAAACGTCATAATTTGCATTATAAAGATGTAGAGTTCAATGAGTCTTGGATTAACACATTTACTCAGGAAGATGAGTCGTCTGTCCTGCAAGAAGATAGTGGTTCTGGTAAAGATGAAGATACTTGCATAGATGGAGAAGATGAGTTATTGCATGACAGACAACAGCACTGTATGTTTCAGGACACCTGTCTCATGCCAGTAGATATAGGACAAGAAGCATTGGATCAGTATGTGGATAACATATTAAATGTAGCTCCAGGTGAAGGTAACAATCCAGTGAAATTGCTTTCAGATTTTACAAATGAAGCAAAAAGTTTTCCCGTCTTGTTTCCTTCAGGATCGAATACTTACTATGAAAGCAGACAATTTCGTTTGACTCTGAATCGGTATTTCAACAACAGGCTTCTTCATGTCGATGGTCGATTTGCTAACAATGTAGAATATATATTTTTTGCACAGTACATGTCTGAACTAGAGCAAGTTGTGTCCAAAGTTTCTATAGCTTTGCGTAAAGGTAAAAGCGGTGAATCTCAGAAGTTGGGTAATTTGATACAGGATCAGGATTCTTTAAATAAGCTGTTAGAGTTTGATGATGGCTACCGGTTTCTTAAACCAATTCGCGGCACACCTGCTTTTTGGCAATCTGCTCAGCGAGACCTCCTGGCTTGTGTAAAAATGTTGGGCAAACCTACTTGGTTCGCATCATTTTCGTCGGCAGATTTGAGGTGGACTAACCTTCTTTATAGTATTTTGAAACAGGAAGGCAGAACAGAGACAGTGGAACAGCTGGAGTGGGCTGATAAATGTGAGCTCCTACGTAGGAATCCAGTAACTGCTGCCCGAATGTTTGATTTTAGATGGCATGTCTTCTTAAGGGAAGTGCTAATGTCTCCTGCCAATCCCATTGGTAAAATAGAAGATTATTATTATCGTGTTGAGTTCCAGCAGCGTGGTTCTCCTCACTGTCATTGCCTTTTCTGGGTTTCTGGTGCTCCCATTTTAGATAAGAACACAGATGAGGAGGTCATTGCATTTGTTGATGAATATGTCACATGTGAACTTCCTTCTGAAGACGATTCACTACATGAAGTCGTCTCATCTGTCCAGCAGCACTCCAAACGGCATTCAAAGACTTGTAGAAAGAAAAAAACTGTTTGTCGTTTTAATTTTCCACGGCCTGCATCTGTTAGAACTTTTATTAGTCGTGGTGAAAAGTATCAAGATGCAGTGAAGACTTGCAAGTGTGATAAAACAGATAGCACTGTACAGTGTGCCTGTGCGTCTCAAGATAAAGCTCGTAAACAAGAAATGGACAAAGAAGTAGCAAGTGCCATTTTAACTAAAGTAAAGACTGCTATTTCTAGTGAAGACTGTCCATATAACAGTGTAGAAGGTCTGTTTCAGGGCCTGGGTATCAGTCAGGAACTATTTGAGATGGCATATAAACGATTTTGTCGAAATACACATGTTGTTTTGAAAAGGGAAGTTAATGAAATCTGGATTAATCAGTATAGCAAGTTGCTGTTAAAAGCTTGGAATGCTAATCTTGATATCCAGTATTGCGTCGATGCTTATGCATGCTGTGTATACATAATATCTTACATGTCTAAAAGTGAACGGGAAATTGGCCTTCTGCTTGCTAATTCTCAAAGAGAAGCAGCCAAAGATGGTAATCTTAGTGCTAAAGAGGCCTTGAAGACTCTTGGTAATGTTTATCTTCATAATCGAGATGTTTGTGCGCAGGAAGCAGTCTACAGGCTAACTAACATGCATCTAAAGGAGTGTTCTAGGAAAGTTGTGTTTGTTCCCACTGGTGATAATATAGTGAAAATGAGTTTGCCTATTTCTGTTTTGAGGCAAAAAGCAGCATCACAGGATCTTACTTCAGATGACATGTGGATGACCGGATTAGTTGAACGTTATAAGAAGAGGCCAAATGATGATGTGTTCAATGATATGTGCCTGGCTACGTTTGCATCAGAATATCGTGTTTTGAGTAAAAACGAAAAATGTAGAAACCCTATAAAGTTAAGTAATGATTTAGGATTTGTTACAAAAAGAACTCGGACTAAACCAGCGGTTGTTCGTTACGCGCGTTTCTCTGAAACCAAAGACTCGGAGAAATTTTTTCAAAGCATGTTGCAGTTGTTTTTACCGTACCGCCATGATAGTCAACTTAAGCTTAACTGTGAAACTTTTGAGGAATTTTACAGAACTGGTTTAATTAGATTTTTTGATAGAACAAACCACTCGGTAAAGGCTGTTGTAGATTTAAATCGGAGTAAATTTGAGTTAGAATCTGATCATTTGGATGCTGTGAATAATATAGTCGGTGATGTAATGTTAGAAGATGCATGGTGTGAGTTGTGTCCGGCAGTTGAAATGGAACGTTTAGAGTGTGTTGAAATACTGAAAGAATCAGAACCGACAGTAAGTGACGAGGCAGAAGTAATCCCAGATTTGGCTCCATGTTCAAACCAAACTGCACATTTAGAGAAGAGAAACACGATGAGTAGAGGTGAAGGTCTGGCATTGATTAGGTCTTTAAATGAAAAACAGTTTTCTGTTTTTAATCAAATCAGGCAGTGGTGTGTAGATAAAGTTAATGGTAATAACCCTGAACCACTGCATGTTTTTGTTACAGGTGGGGCAGGCGTTGGGAAAAGTCATTTAATTCGAGCAATCGAGTATGAAACACAGAGATTACTGTCACCAAGCTGTAGACATCCTGATAATGCATGTGTAGTATTGACAGCTCCTACTGGGATTGCAGCATATAATTTAGGTGCAACAACAATCCACACTACACTGTCTATAGGAAAGGATGTGCGCTTACCGTACACTCCTCTGGGTGAAGAAAAACTAAATTCTTTACGTACAAAATATTGTGATTTGCAGCTTCTTATTATTGATGAAATATCAATGGTCGATCATAACCTGTTGTCCTATGTTCATGGTAGATTACGTCAGATTAAACAAACGGGTGACTTTTCACCTTTTGGAAATGTCAGTGTAGTGGCTGTTGGAGATTTCTTCCAGCTACCTCCTGTTAAAGGGAAGCCACTCTATTCTGATGGTGTAGGTAGCAACTTATGGTCAAGCCTATTTAAAGTTGTACAGTTAACTGAAGTCGTTAGACAGAAAGATGCTGTGTTTTCTGGACTGCTAAATAGAATCAGAACTCATACAAAAGGTACACCATTGTTACCTGAGGATTTAAAGGTTTTAAAAACTTGTGAAACAGGTGAGGCAAGCTCAGCATTGCACATATTTGCAACAAATAATCAAGTAAATAATCACAACATCCATCAGTTATGTCACGTTTGTCCTGATTACATATCAATTACAGCCAAAGATTATGTTAATGATAAAAGAACAGGCAAACTGAAGTTGTTGGAAGGGAATCATGCCAGAGCTTCTAATACTAACTTGTCAGAAGTGTTACAGTTGGGTAAGGGTGCGCGTGTAATGTTGTGTAAAAATGTGGATGTCATTGACGGTTTAGTAAACGGAATTTGTGGTACGTTGACGGAAATTGTAATTTTAGAAAATGACACCTTTCCTAAGAAAGTTTATGTTCAGTTTGATGACCATCGTGTCGGCTTGCAGAGGAGGAAAACCTCCCAGTCTCTGTCAGCAAATTTAGCTGGATCTACACCTATTGAACCCGAGGAGGAAAGAGCCACTGTTAAAGGTGGATTACGTCGACAATTTCCTCTTAAATTAGCTTGGGCGGTTACGGTTCATAAAGTTCAGGGACTCACTCTTGAAAACGCCGTTGTTAGTTTTAGGAAAATATTTGCACCAGGTCAAGCATATGTAGCACTTAGCCGTGTAACAAGTCTTTCAGGACTCACAATTCAGGACTTTGATGAAAAACGAATCTATTGTAAAGATGACATTACAGTTGCAGTTAGTAAAATGACCCCTTTTTTGACTCCAAACTCACAGTTCGACAGATTTAACTCTTCTGCATTCACTGTGTTTTTAATGAATGTCCAAAGTCTGAATCGACACGTTAAAGACTTAGCTTTCTGCACACAGCATTTGCAACCTAATTGCATTGCTGTCACAGAAACATGGGTATCTACAGACAGATCAGATGCAGTAAAGATTGATGGCTATAGTTTTTACAACTGCCCACGAGGTTTAGCTTATTCTAGTACTCATGAGTCTTTGATTGCTTTTCAAGAACAACAACATGGTGGTGTTGGCTTTTATACTGCAGATGGTGTGGCATTTAAAATGTTGCAGGCTCCAGACGTCAACTTGGAGAGTTTAGTGTATAGCTTTGTTAACTTACACATAGTACTTGGACTCATTTATCGACCTCCTCTTTATCCCCTTTCTTTGCTTAAAGTAAATTTAACAAAGTTGCTTGATTGGCTGGAGGTACAAAGTGAGACATTAGTACTAATGGGAGATTTTAATGATGACATTTTAAAATCATCAACAATATTAAAACTTTTGACTGACAGAGGCTATGCCCAAATAGTCAAACAGCCAACAACCGAGAAAGGCACTTTAATAGATCATGTCTATGTAAAATCCAACAAGTATATAACAGAAGCATCTGTTATTCCAACATATTTTAGTGATCATCAGGGCATCATGTGTGCTTTGACACGGCTTTAGTTTACCTCAAAAACAGCTTTGATTTGATCAACACCTAACTGCAGAATTTGTAATGTAAAGAGGTGTGTGTGTGTGTGTGTGTGTGTGTGTGTGTGTGTGTGTGATCAATTTTAGCTTTAACATTTACTAATATTTTACCTTTCCTTACATGAGCTATCTCTACTGAGAGCAAAATCAATTTCGTTGTACACCTATGCAATGACAATAGAACTTGTATATATATATCATACATATAGTCTGTCAGAACTTTTCTATATGAAATATATTGGATGTATTGTTTTTAAGCAGTGTACATGTTTCGATGCCGTTGAGAGGTTGTGCACACTCAGGACAACTTCGCTGCCGCGTTCCATGTGTGAGAGCAGGGGTTGCAGGACAATGTGCGCACAGGAGTGTAGCAAGATTTTTAAACTGTGGGTGCTGAAATTTCTCTGATGCATATAGGTGAGAAGTGTTACATTCGCAAACTATTTAGCTGTCATGAGAGCAACAAAGGGGGTAATAACGCGCGGAACGTTTTGGTGTCGTGCATTTGTCATGGCACTAGAATTTCGGGAGTGGTGCAGCACCACGCCTATGTAGGAAAAACCACTAACTGCTGCTGTATGCTTCACCATTTCTGTGATTTCAATTTTCATGTCCCCTACTGACCTAGTCAAAATAACATTGAGCCATTTCCCACCTTCTCTCAGCTCTAGAATGCTCTTTCCCCTTGTCCTCTGCATTAATCTCTCACCCACTTTTTAATCAAAACTAAAAACATATCTGTCCAGATCAGCAATTAATACACTAATTTTATTGTTGTAATGTGTGTGAGTGTGTGTGTGTGTGTGTGTGTATATTTCATCTTCTTTGTTGCAAAATGTGTAGGATGTATTGGAAAGCTTTTAAACGTCTTTTTTAACATCAAAATTAAATGTGTTTAAAAGCTTTCTAAAGGTTTCGTTTCCTGCATTAAGATGGTATTTATTGAAATTAAACTGAAAACCTTTAGTACAATTGGCCTCTCATTCATCACTACTGAACGATGTAACAATTCAACACCAAATTATGCATAATGTTAAAAATTAAACTGGTGAATTTCATGCTGTTTTAATGCAGGGTTTGCTTTACCTGGTAAAATGCACAAAAAAGCAAAGGCAATGGTCTGGTCTCCCAATTGTGGGACAGGGTTCAAATCCCTGTGTTGCCCTGCTAATTGTGTTGATCACTGGAAAAAACTATTATTAAAAAAGGCAAAAAACAATAAACTTTAAGTTTAAAATCTTACTTGCTGCAATTCACCCTAGAACTAAACACATTTTGATTTCAAGGACAACTGATAAGATCACACCCATGGGCATTTCTAGCGTGCTTTTGTGAGTACTGAAGCACCCCTAAATTCATCTCTAGCACCCCTAAAGTTTAACATTTATTTATTTATTTTTACAATTTATGGTGATTTTTAAACACATATCTAAAACAATTGGACAAAACATTGTTTTACAAACAATAATATAGCAAATCTCCCCTGTCTCAAAAATGGTTTGATCGTGCTCACCTTTCCAGCCTCTACTCTGAGCCTTCCTGAGTGGCTGACATGCCATTAGGAACCACGTTTCTTTCTGTGGGACAGTCCTGAATTTACATTATTTTTCACAGGTCTTTGAATCTTGCATAAACTGATTGTGAGGCGAAAACCGCAGCTGTCAATCAAACTAGAAGGTGGGACTTTGATGCAGGTCTGGCCACTCACGAACCTCCATACCAAATGGTAACGTCAGAGTGATCCAGGACTCATGGGAGATGAGCGCAGTGGAGAAATGCTGTTACAATAAAGGCTGAAGGGTTAAACTTGCTCAGGTTCTTCAGTAATCACACAGGCTGGTGCTGAAGAAGCCCAATAATAAGCTAACACAGACAAGGTACTTGTGTTCTTTCATAGCCAAACCCTTTTGAATAGCATTTAACAGTTGAAAAATCTAATTAAATCCTTGATTATTTCTTCAGACATGTCTGAGGGAAAAAAATCAGAACATTAAATTTAAATCTTAACTTATGTCAGAGATCAAAGTCACTAATTGTTGTTTTCTCTCCTCTAAATTTCTACTGTAAGAGACTATTTGTCATTTTTGCTAAGCTACCATTCTGTTTTAGTTGTTTAAATTCTGGGGAAAAAAGACAATTTATCAAAAAAGTTTGGATTTATTTCAATGGGATGTTGATATTAGTGGAAAATTGTGAAACAATCAAATCATGCATATGTCATAAAAAGCAAACAATGTTTAAGGAAATGGTGCCATAGTGATTTAACTTGCTGAGCTAGTAAAAACATTTCCAGTGTTGTGTAATAAAATACAACAAGTTTGGCATGTTTGTGACTTTATTTGTTGATGTTGTTCAAGTTTTAATTCATCTAGATGTTGCTGTCTTTAATTCACGTAAAATCTCTTTGAGCTGTTATTGAGCGAATCAAAATCAATGTGGTGTAAATTGGTGTGAATCACACTGTATTATTTATCTAAAGCCAATTGTCTGTACAAATTATTACACTTTTAAAAGTTTGTAGGTAGCACTCTAGAGAAAATGGATCACATGCTTTAACAATTTTCACATAGTTCAGTTAGAGGCTGCATTTATAGGCGCTTACCAACTGCATAAGTTCCTAGAACCATCCCTCCAGTAAGAACATTTTCACATTGCATTCGCACAGCACTCAGAAACGTCTCACTACTAGGGCATACTCTATCTTTACCACACTGGTGATGTGATGTTCAGTCTCGGGCAAGTCGGAGGCTGTTTGTGGAAGTTACAGTCAAACGTAAGGTCACAGCGTCATGCCAGAAATCGCCATGCCCCTGCCTTTCTGAAAAGCTATCAGATCTGAATGGTCATTACAACATCAGGAAGACAGTGCATGACCTTAGTGTCATCTTGACTAAATTAGAGGGAACAAATATGGGCATTTCACCATAAAACAGTTGACTTCCTGTAGTCAGGGGGCGGGGCTTAGGTGATGTCAGCTGTCCACATTGTCACTGTCTTCAGATGTGGTCAGTGATCACACAGACAAAGTATGAAATTGATCTGATCATGCACATGGGAGTTAAGTCAAATAAGGTAATGGCGACTGGTCAAAGTTTGAGGCTTAGCCACGCCCACACCTTTATACTTATTTAAAATCCGACGGTTGAATTTTTTCCTCTATGTCTTAAGAGTATATAGCAGAGGTTTGAAGGTGATCGGTGGAAAGGGCGAGGAGATATCATTCTCCTAATAACGTGTGCGAAAACCACTAAATTGAGTACTTGGACCAAAATGGCCGACCTCCTGTGCGACATTGTGCTTGGCTCCAAGAGACTTTTTTGTAGGTCCTGGTACACTACATTAGTGTGCCAAATTTTGTGATCCTCAGTCAAAGCATGGCTTGGGGCTGACTGTTTTAATGGTCCTAGGGGGCGCTGTTTCAGAAAATAGGCCACGCCCACAAACTTCAGCTGTCCAATTCTATTAGGGGTCAGAGTAGGATCACTCATCAGAACTTGTATGGCGATGTCACAATGACTGAAGAAATGAGAGACAAACGTATTTCCATGTCGTGATGGCGAATTTCGCCATTCTCCCAAAGCCCCGCCTTTATTCGAAACCTGCCAGTACTATAGACCAAGTGACCTCAACTTGTCTGCTGCTATTCGCCACTGTTTGGTGGTGATTGGTTAAAAGGAGTCCAATAGGGAGCTGTGAAAAAAAGAGTGGCGTGGCGACAGGTCAAAGTTTGAGGCTTAGCCACGCCCACACCTTTATACTTATTTAAAATCCGACGGTTGAATTTTTTCATCTATGTCTTAAGAGTATGTAGCCGAAGTGTGAAGGCAATTGGTGAAAAGGGCGACGGAGCATCACTCTCCAAACAACGTGTGCGAAAACCACTAAATTGCGCACTTGGACCAAAATGGCCAACTTCCTGTGCGACAATGCACTTGGCTCCAAGAGACTTTTTTATAGGTCCTGAGACACCACATTAGTGTACCAAATTTCGTAATCCTCAGTCAAAGCATGGCTTGGGGCTGTCAGTTTTAATGGTCCTAGGGGGCGCTATTTCAGAAAATAGACCACGCCCACCGGAATTTCACATCAGATCTTTTGGGGGGCCAGACTAGGATCACTCACAAGAAGCTTCGTGGCGATATCTCTAGAAATGACGAAATGGGAGGCAAACGTAAGGCCTAAGCGGTACGCCTGAATTCGCCGCGCCGCCACAGCCCCGCCTTCTGCAGAAAACTCCCATAAAGTGAAGCCAAGCAACCCCAACTTGTCTTCAGTTACCCGCTACAAATTTGGGGTGATTATTGGAAAGGGCGAATTTTGGAAAATTTCCCAGTAAAACTTGACCTTTTAAGTCCTGAGGGGGCGGGGCTTATGTGACATCATCAATCGACCATTCATTTGTCTTCGGAGGGCGATGACAATTGTCCACAGAACATTTCTTTAACTGTAATTCTTTCATTTATGAAATTATAGCAATTTGAATTTTTTTGGCGAGTGCTCGAAATTTGAGGCCTGGCCCCGCCCCTTCAGTATTTACGAAAAGTCAATTTTATTGTCTCATTTGAATCGTCCATCGCTTCTGTTCGATCTCGCACAATTTTTGAGACGATGGTGCGAAAAATGACCAAACTGTTCAACCAAATATAGACCCTAGAAATGGCCAAAACGGGGTCAAAATGGCCACTTTACTCCAAAATGGCCGACTTCCTGTTTGATATTGACCATGGTTGCAAGAGACTTTTCTGTGCGGACTGTTGAGTACTACAAGTATACCAAATTTCATAACTGTACGATAAACTAAGCTTTATGGAGAGGGGTATTTTTCACTTTCTAGGGGGCGCTGTTCAGTCACTTTTTGACGAACTTTCACATCGCCAGTGAAATACGTAAATTTCACGCACTTTCTATATTGGGCCAGAATTTGGTGACTTTTTGGATATGCTAAGACCCCCTAAAGGCCATTCAAAGACGCGGAAGAAAAAAGAATAATAATTAAAGCTGCAAGCAGCGTCGTTCGGCCCTCGCAGCTCCGCGCCGCTCCGGTCTGCCGTCGCACCAGTGCACGTCTGACAGAACAGAAACGTCAACCACCCCGACACCAGAAACCGCGAATGGCCTCCTAGTCTGCACCTCACCCTGACTCAGCATCCCCTCTGAGCTCACCATTAAATTGAATATTAAGATTACGGCGTTACGCCAGAATTCGCCATGGCATCAAAGCCCCTCCCTTTCTGGAAAGCTATCAGATCTGAATGGTCATTACAGCATCATGAAGACAGTGCATGACCTTAGGGTCATGTTGACTAAATTAGAGGGGACAAATATGGGCATTTCAGCATAAAAAATAAATTCCTGTAGTCAGGGGGCGGGGCTTAGGTGATGTCAGCTGTCCACATTGTCATTGTTTACAGATATGGTCAATGATCACACAGACAAAGTTCGAAAAAGATCTGATCATGCACATGGGAGTTATTAAGTCAAGTAAAGTAATGGCGAAAGGTCAACGTTTGAGGCTTAGCCACGCCCACACCTTTCAACTTTTGAAAAATCCGACGGTTGAATTTTTTCCCCTATGTCTTAAGAGTGTATTGCAGAAGTTTGAAGGTGATTGGTGAAAAGGGCGACGGAGCATCACTCTCCAAACAATGTGTGCGAAAACCACTAAATCACGTACTTGCACCAAAATGGCCGACTTCCTGTGCGACTTTACGCTTGGCTCCAAGAGACTTTTTTGTAGGTCCTGAGACCCCACATTAGTGTACCAAATTTCGTAATCCTCAGTCAAAGCATGGCTTGGGGCTGAAAGTTTTAATGGCTCTAGGGGGCGCTATTTAAGAATATAGGCCACGCCCACAAACTTCAGCTGTCTATTTCTCTTGGAGCTCAGACTAGGATCACTCACCAGAAGTTTCGTAGCAATATCACGATAACTGAAGAAATGAGACAAACGTATTTCCATGGCGTGATGGCGATTTTCGCCATGGTCCCAAAGCCCCGCCTTTTTTCAAAACCTGCCAGTACTGGAGACCAAGTAACCTCAACTTGTCTACTGCTGTTTGCCACAGAATCCTGGTGATTGGGTAAAAGGAGTCCAGTAGGGAGCTGTGAAAAAAAGAGTAGCGTGGCGACAGGTCAAAGTTTGAGGCTTAGCCACGCCCACACCTTTCAACTTTTGAAAAATCCGACGGTTAAATTTTTTCCCCTATGTCTTAAGGGTATATAGCAGAAGTTTGAAGGAGATTGGTGAAAAGGGCGACGGAGCATCACTCTCCAAACAACGTGTGCGAAAACCACTAAATCGCGTACTTGATCCAAAATGGCCGACTTCCTGTGCGACTTTGAACTTGACTCCAAGAGACTTTTTTGTAGGTCCTGAGACACCACATTAGTGTACCAAATTTCGTAATCCTCAGTCAAAGCATGGCTTGGGGCTAATAGTTTAAATGGTCCTAGGGGGCGCTATTTCAAAACATAGGCCACGCCCACAAAATTCAGCTGTCTATTTCTCTTGGAGCTCAGACTAGGATCACTCACCAGAAGTTTCGTAGCAATATCACGATAACTGAAGAAATGAGAGACAAACGTATTTCCATGGCGTGATGGCGATTTTCGCCATGGTCCCAAAGC